AAAAGTTTTTTCGTATGTAGTGTGCAAGACATGTATGCGATATTTGCGATACAAGTTGTGTGGCCATTGATGTCATACATACGCGATTGTTTGCTCATGAATAAATCATTTTTTGTTGTGACAACGAGAAACGGATGTCTACCGCCTGCATCTCTGACACTTTTTTATACTAACAGATAAAATGTTTGCGAATACTGACGTAACTTTATGAATTAATATCTCATTAAAAATACTAAATTATAATACAACTTTGTTTATATTGTGTCAACAACACTTTTTTTGTAACTGAATGGCCACTGTTTGCCTTGAAGAGGCATTTACAGATTCACCGGGCTTAAGGTAGCCGAGCGCAGAATGACGCTTAGCCTAAACCTCGTTTATGAGTAGTTAGAAACACTTATGTCATGTTTGTTTTGCAAAGGGACAGAGTGTCAGTTTTAGTATTGCCGTTGCCCTAGGCGGGATTTCTACTGCAATACGAACCTATTTGACAAAAGGCGCTCATGGCCTCCCTTTATGTCGAGCGCCCTGGACGATCGACCCACCTCGCCCTATCCTAACACCGGTACTGACCAGACATGTGTGTTCCGTACATACAAACTTTTAAGTTTTATTTAATTAAAAAGTATAGGTAATAATAAAAATAATTTGCCTTAAAAACTTAAAGTATTAAACTCCAATAAAGCTACATTTGTTTTCATAAGTTGCAAACTACGATTTTTCAATTTCGTGTAGTAAAATCGGCAGACTTAAAAGTGCAATTTTGCTAAACATATGCACCGGTTTGATTGTAGGTACAGTATGTCAAAACCGTCAAGCAAAACCTAACGTGTGATGCTTGCATTACACTGCTAACTGTGGGTATCAACTACCTTGACACTAACATTGACAACTCTCTATTTCACGTGTCCCGTGAACTGTCACACTGTGAGTAATTAATAAACGAGATATCATTACAGTAGGTGGTATGCAGTAATATACCTGAACAACGCACGAAGGTTGTGACCTTGAGCTTGTTTGACGGAAGTGAAAGAGCCACGGTCACAGCCTACGGTATTGAATTGAATTTCGACAATCATTTAAACAGATAAAGATCCGTCACCCGCGTTTCAATACTCTTTTGCCTGACGTGCCGTATTGAATTCCTGGTATAGGCTATTTCAATTGTTTTGGCGGCTCAAGATCTGCGAGATGCCCCCAACCTTTACACCGCTACACATAAAATTGTGTCCTGCATATATGCGGCTATCTGAGCTGCCAAGATGTTTTTTATTGACTGGCCGCTTGTTCATTTGCCACCTTTTGTTATAAAAAAAATCTTATCAGATTGTTTTTTTCTCAATTTCTTCAATATGAATCTGAGAGATATCTCTAATCTAGACTTATGTTATAAAATGGAAAGATTTGTATTTTTGTATGTATTGAAATAACTCAAAAACTACCGGCCCGATTTCAAAAATTCTTTCACCATTTAGAAGCTACGTTATCAGCGAGTAACAAAGACTATGTTTTTTTATTACTTTTTAATTTTACTTGTACGAACTAGCGAGCAACAGCTAGTACAAGATAAACTTGAAGTAAAGCAAACTGTTGTTTATAAAATAAACGCTTGAAACTTTATAATTCCGCTCTTGTCTTTGTTGCGTATTTACCTTACGTCCCTTATCTGGGTCTTGATATCTTCGACCAGCGGCAGACCATTGTTATTATCTATTTGCATTTTATCTGGCCCCGAGCAGATAGCGGACTGAAAGCGGTACGACGGTTTGTTTGTCCTTGTGATTATTGTATTATATATATTTTAAACTTTAAAACAATCACCTGGTCTACTTTGTCTTTAAAACCGAAAGAAGTAGATTGTAAAATATAGACATAAGAACTCCAATAAGGAAGCTCTAACTAACTTTAGGAATTATTTCGTTATTTCGTAGTGTATTGTTTTTTTGAAAATCTTCTGTTTGAACTTATTTTATTTGGAAGTTGGTTTTTTATGTTTTGTTAATAACAACGTCACACATAACTTTAGGACTCTCATTCCATGACATTGTATGAATATTGCAGTCGCTGTACACTTAGAATAAGGATGGCAATATTTATAAATACTATTTTCACTATAGTAGAGTGGTACAGTCAGCTACACAAATGTTTATACGTCTACAAAACTTAAAAAAATTGTTTAGTCCTTCGGTTTCAAAGATATGTAAAGTCATTATTGACGGTATAACATAAGGGCGGTCGGAAGCATAAGGACAGACACGCGCATAAATGTTAGAAACCGAAAGTGAACAAAAGTTTCTATGGCATGACAAACATTTATGTAGCTGATTGTACAGTAATACTATGCAGTACATACAATGATAGCTAACGTAATTGATAACAATCATTTTAACGGAGATAATACGAGTACAAGACAGAATAAATATAGCGCAAGTGACCTTCTTGTAAAAATCTTATCAATTATGATTATCGCATTACTAATAAGTCAAGGCTATGTTACAAGTGATTTAACAGTAGATTTTCACTGTACCACAAAAAAGCGCATAAGGATTTTTTTTTATGAATCAGAAAAACAATTGTAAGAGGAAATTCTTGTTTTAAAATATACAATAAGCCAAGGATTCTGTGATCTATTCTGTGTGCTATTCGTGTTTTATGGAACAATCTTATCTTACTAATATTATAAATGCGAAAGTTTGGATGGATGGATGGATGTTTGTTAGAGTTTGTAGCCTAAACACCTGAACGGATCTTGATGAAATTTCACATAGATGTACAGGATAGTCTGGAAGACATAGCATAGAACACTTAGCCTACTCACTTTTGTTTTTATTATTCCACGCGGACAAAGTCGCGGGCGAAAGCAAGTCTTACATAAGTCTTTAATCCCTTTTAGCGAAGGATACCAAAGTATAATTCAATTTAGGGATTAAGCCTCGAAATCGGATAAATATTCTCCGTTTTAATAACTTAAAACGATCTGTAGGATAAGCGCCAATACAATAATGGTTAAGGTTACGGATATCCCATCCTGTGATTGTTAGATAAAATACAACTAATCAATTATTATTAAAAATCATATTAAGACGAGTGTTTGTAAATACTATATTAAAAAAAAATGTGTCTTTATAAAAATATTAGCTGATGCTCGCAACCTTGCCAAATAGTTTTTGAGTTATTTCAAAATCCAAATTTTTCCTCTTTAGTATCAATAAAGATATGGATGGTAACTCCGTGTGAAAAATATCTTAAATTTTGAAGTGTCGGATACAGGAAAATTAAAAACAAATCGTTACAGATAAAATATCTTCTTCATGATTACATTACAGATGCAAATATTAACCTTTTGGTATATGCGTAAATTATTTAACAATGTGAAATATTTCTCTTGACCTCAAGGATTTTAGTTCCTATTAAAGAAGCCTTTTCGAATATTTATGTGTCATGAGTCTGAGTCAATTTTGTTGTTCACAAATATCGTTATTCAGTAATTAGTTGTCTTGGCGTCTTTTACCTTAGTATTGGTAGATATCTAGTTTCTAGCTGTCTATTGTCTGCTTGATCTATGACCACTTCGTCGTTCCCACTTTTATTTATTGACCAAAAAAATTATAAAAAAGAACAAAACTTACAAAACACATTACTGAAATAAAAGATAAAATAAAAAAATGGATAAAAGGAGAACGCTCAGCTGATGCGGCCTCCAGTTTTTAACTAAAGGCCGCGCTGGTTTTCAGCCTCAGTTAACCATAGTATTAGTAGATATCTAGTTTCTAGTCCTCTAATGTCTGCTTGATCTATGACTACTTCGTTGTTCCCACTTTTCTCTCATCTCATGAAAAAACTTGAGCTTTATCTATTTGTAATATTATTGTAGTTAAATTACATCAAACTTTACTTTAATTAAGAGTAAAGATAAGGAAACGTTTACGAAATCGCACAGATTTCGAACCAATTACGGTGTTGTTGTATTGAGGTCGATAAACTCGTTCGTGTGAACGTACCCTTATATAGATGACGTGTAGGTGTGCCCTTATCTCCTGTCAGGCTACCGTCGCAGGCGCATCGTCATGTTTCACAGATAACGTATTAAATACACGTTTTATTGGAATCTATATGACGTGGGTGTGCGTAAAAGAGAATTAGAGAGGACTTACTAAATACAAAAGAATGAGCTTTATTGGAGTCATCCAGTGTTATTACTTGCTTTGTGTTTATCCAAATTTTAAGGGCTAATTAACATTTAAAATTAATTCATTTGTTTTTAACCAAATTATTATTGTGATTAGAAAACAAACATGCAAACGTCGTTTTTTACATAAATTGAGATGTAGATGTAAGAAACGTAATTTTATCGTCAACGAAAGCAACTAAATTCCGTGTGTAACCGCACTGAATATAAAATGTATTTCGTATTCATACTCAGCATGCATTGTAAATAAATGACGCTTTTATTGTTATTTCTTTTAGTTTATTTAAGTTAATAAATTTTCTTGGGAATAAGGTTGTTCGGACAATAGTTTCTAACGTATTCAAAAATGTTTGAGTCTCCCACATCTTTAATGAATCCGCTTGGCGTTTTCTAAATATAAATGTATTATTTGTATTGCATGCTTCATGTATCCGTTCATACAATGTTATTCTACAGAAAACGATTCACGTCCAAATATATTCCGACCATGAAAAAGTAACAATCTGACTTAATAATAAATGCGTGGATGGATGGATGTTTGTAGCCTAAACTGCTGAAGGGATCTCGATGAAATTTTGTACACATATAGAGTATGGTCTGTAAGAATACATAGCCTACTTACTTTTGTTTCTTTTATTTCCGCGCGGACGGAGTCGCGGGCGAAATTTAGTACAATATATTATACTTTGCCATATTACCCTCGTTTTTTACAGTTTGTTAGACATGCAGTAGATCATCTGTTTTGGCACCATGTGGTAACAAACTGCATTTAAAATATCACTGTTTAACTTTAGATGTGATTTTTTGACAGGACGAAGAGGTAAAGAAGCAACTACCAGTCGCTCCTAAATGCTGTCCCAGTGGTCAGAACTTGACAGTATCTTACGAGGGCGGTGTGGTCCGGTCTGTCTGCACACGGTCCAGTCTCACCTTCCAGCCGGTCTTTCACAAGGCCAATGATACTCATATCTGGAGCTTTGATAGTAATGTGTTCGAGACCATCGTCGGGAACCCTTGCTTGTATGACAGGTTCGTAAAATTTTAGGAATTTTGAATATGAATGGTCAATTTGATCCTGACAATAGTCAGAAAGAAGGGATGTTGTAATTGGAACTTAAAGTAACTGGAGTATGAGGAGGCATATTTATGTTTTTTGATTTAAAAGCAGCGATATATTTAGGAAATCTGATGTGATGAGGAACATTTTTAAAATGCTTCAAAATACGCCAAAAAACAATTTAATTTTATTTCAGATACAAATTGGATCCCGAAGAAATAAGCTCAGATGAATTCTATTTACTAGTAAACGGTTCTCTGTTTGTGCCGTTCAGTGAACCACATCTACTCGGGACAAGAGATTATTGCATGGAAACCTTTTGGAACGAATCAAATCCTGCAGGAGTAACATTACCGTTAGTTTGTTTCCGAACACCTTTCGAAGAGGCGAAGACTTCTGTCACTCTTATAATTTATGCCACAGGTAATACAGTTTGGTAATTTGCAGACAGAATTTCAAATACGTCAACAACTTCCCCTGGGTGTCGTAAAGATCGGTAACGACTGATGACGAATGGGCCATAAATGGCTGTGGGATTTGGAAGGACGTTGTATTTTAGAAACTTTAGAGTTCCTGAATCTTCAACCAATTCATTGTAAAAAGGATTGATTGTGTAAAAATGGTTTCATAAACTTAAATGCTAATATAGTGACATTATTAGAATATGCCTCTGTTTAGCCATGCAATCTGATAAAAAAAAAATCTGCATAGAAACAAAATGAATGATTTTTTCAGGTTTAATAATATCAGTACCGTTCCTGCTAGCAACAGCGTGTGTATACATACTTATAAAGGAGCTGAGAGACACGCACGGTAAAGCACTGGCCTGCCATGCCACGTGCTTGGCAATTGCCTTCTCTTGTCTCGCAGCTACTCAACTAGCTGGTCATGCTTTCCCAACAACCATTTGCACGATAATGGGTATGATATTTTTATATCGGTTGATTTTGAAAAGTTTCTGATCTCTGAAGTGATTTTTTCTTAATTAGAATTTTCTTTGTTTCAGCATATTCAATACAACTATCATTCGTATCCTGTTTCTTTTGGTTGAATGTCATGTGTTTCGATACATTTTTAAACGTTAGGTAAGTGACATGAGTGTTTTACTTAATTTGGTTTTTATTGAGTTTATTTTTTCTTATAAAAGTACAAAGGTATATTATCAATTGTTTGAATTTTTATAAGCCTTAAAAAAATGCGAAGAAATTATTTTAAATGTATTTTATTTTAGGCGATATATAAACGCATCAGTCAGCAGAAAAAGTATGCGTCGGAGATTTGCGTGGTATTGCGTGTATGCAATATTATTGCCTGTTATTCTATTAGCGGTTACAGTTACTATGGATCTATCCCCAGCTGTACCTAGTACTTATCTGAAACCTAATTTTGGTGTTAAAGGATGCTGGTTCAAAAGTAAGTTTGTCTTCTGTTCTATTGCACAAAGGTGTTCGTGTGTTAGATAGATGTTTTTTTAAATATGTTTTTTTTGACAGCGGACCAAGCAGCTCTGCCGTATTTCTACGGCCCCGTAGCTGTTATTCTTCTAAGTAACCTCGTCATTTTCTTCTTTACGTCTCGTGCTTTTGCAACGCACTATGACAAACTGAAGGATGTTACTCGTAAGTACATTTTTCTTTACTTTATTTATTAGAGGTAGAATCTGTAAACGTTTAGAGCCGCACACCTTTGACTAAACTATCGCACAACTGTTTTGTCTCGCTTTGATTGCTAAGAGCTTATATGGTGCGTATACTAAAGATAAAAGATAAAGATAAAGATAGCTTTATTTCCCTTATGATTATAATTTTTTTTATACATATTTACACTTATACTAAAAAAAAACTAATAAAATATACTAAAAAGTAAAAATGATTATCTGACAAGAAAAACGTAGAAACAAAAATGTACATAGTTTTTATTACGGTTAGTGTTCTTAAACAATTTCATGCAAAAAATATTAGTATTTTTAGTCTGTTAACTCATCTTCTGTATAAGGGCCGACTGTCGCAGTAAAAGCCTCCTCCAGATTGTTCCACGTATTTTTGTCCTTCGTTAGCCTAGTCCAGCAGTGTCCCGCTATTTTGGCAATGTCGTCGCTCCATCTAAGATATGGTCTCCCTTTTCGTCTTTTGTGGTGCATACACTACTCGATATTTATTCGTGCAACTAAATAGTTGAATTGGCTGCGAAACAATCGACATTCACTCACAGTTGTGCGATGGTTTAGTCAAACGCCCGCTCTTAACTTATTACAGATGTCTATGAATAGGTGTTATTACACTGTTTATTATCAGGTGGCCACTTAATTTTTGACACCTTGTGATATTAAAATATTTTTATAACTACATTCTGTTTTAATAAAAACACAGAAAACTCTGTATTCCTTATTCACTTTGTCTTAATTAACAATATGTAAAATTTCCAGCCGCATTATGTCTCCGAATGATGTCGTAAAATTTAAGGCTGGTACGTTTTTATGCGTGCATTTAAAATGATGATAGCTACTTGAATATATTTTTTGTGAATCGATTAAACACATATGGTTTGTATGAAGTCATGAATTAAAGTTTATGTCTTAAGGTCTGACGCATCAGTGTTTTTGTATCATTGATTTTTAAGACTAAAATTGCCGCAATATTAAAATGACTTCCTTACACTCATTGAATCATTTAGTTACTCAGAAAATCGTATAGTAAAACAGGAGTATGTTAAATTTAGACTTGCTAAAGATCGCATTTTTATTTCCTCAATACAAACTTATTACAAAACTTATGACATCATATGGATAAGCTTCTGAATAAAACAACCGTATTTATTACTTACTAGCTTTCGCCTGCAACTCCGTCCGCGTGGAATTAAAAAAACAAAAGCAAGTAGCTTATGTGTTCTTCCATACTATCCTCTACATCTACACCAAATTTCATCGCAATCTGTTTAGTCGTTTAGGCTACAAACTCTAACAAGCATCCATCCATCCATCTAAACTTTCGCATTTATAATATTAACATGATATACTTTGTGTAAGCGTTTTGTCTACAAAATACTTGATCTTAAATATGATTGCTTTCATAGCTTTAGATTTAGTGCAATCGGACAACAGTACAGAGGACTGGGTGCGGCTGGGCACTGTACTTGGCCAGGAGTTGCCACCCCATGAACGTGCCGCATCGCCACAAGATAGTAACAACTTCAGTCAACGACTCAAGAAGTACAAGAAAATGTTAGTATTGAATTTTATTCTTGTTACCTTTAAGCCATAATAAATATAGAAGCTATTGTTCTTCATACAAAGTTAATAAATAATTTTCATTTCTTAATTGAAATGACCAATAATAGGTGACTTTGACATTTTGACGTTCTCTCATATTTGTAGTTATTTCATTTTTTATTTGACGTTCTTTTACTGCATAAAATTTTTCTCAGACATTGTTAACAAATGCAATTATCGTACAACTTTTTAGTCTCGCTTCAATTCCTATGATCTTATATGGAGGTGTCTACACTACTCGATTTTCAGTTATGAAACTAAATTGAATTTACTGCGAAACAATCGACAATCGCACAACCGTTGTGCGATAGTTAGTTCAAAGTTGTGTGCCGGCTTTAAAATTTTGTTTTTAGTTTTAGAACGTGCTGCATCCTGTCGGTTATAATGGGCCTATCGTGGGTACTGGAGGTAGTATCGTGGGCGGCCGGCGCCGGTTCCGCAGCTGTCTCCGTCTGGTCGCTCTTTGACCTCATCAACGCGCTGCAAGGAGTCGTTATCTTCTCGATATACGTGTTACAGCAACCAGTTAGATCCTATGTTAAGGTAACAATGAGTTAAATTGGAAATTCAATATTTAAGCAGCAGAATTGACATGTGAAAATCCATAGTTTATTTTTACAAAATTGCAAATTTTGGAAAACTAACTTTGTCTTAATTGACAAATTTAAAATGTTCTAATTTTTTTCCAACAGTTGTCAAAGCTGTGTGAATCGTGTAGAAGGAAAAAGAACGGCTCCGAGGTGTTGGTGGTTAACGAACGGAACAGCATAGACTGTGGCTCCGGTCGGAGAGACTATGTATAGAGCGCCAGAAAGTGTTGGCAAGGTTTGGAAAACTACGGCAAACGTTGGCAAGGTTTGGAAAACTTCGGCAAGTGACGGATATTAGCCAATTTCGTTTATAGTGTCCTGACTATCGCTAGTGTTGTGAGAGACTGATAGAATTAACAGTATTACATACACTGCGCGGGTTCGCTAAGTAATGGTGTAACTATCGGACTATATGGTAATTATTGTATAATGTATGTAAATAATATTTAAGGCAATTGAAATTTATTTATTTTTATACATTTAAATTTAGTTTTAATTGTAATTTTTGAATCTTTATTAATTTTTGTGTCTATATTGAGTTTTGTTATTATTTTTAATGTTGATTTAAAATATTTTGTATGATGCATACTTTAAACTATTGAAGGTAAATTTATTTATATTTTTTTAATAAAAACAGTTTTGTAACATTTATTGATGACTCTATTTTATTTATTACTATTTTAAATAGGACAATGTTATACGTAGGTAACAAAGTGCAATCAGAAACAAGTGTACTTCATATTGTCAAGTGTAAATCGGGTGTAAAATTCCTTCGCAAACATTATTCCTGTGATAGCGCCTTATTATTATTTACTCTGCAAATACTTCATAATAAGAGTTGCCTTGGTAAACATTTATCGCACAAATCAATAGTTTATTTTCACTAGAACATAATAAAGTAATTATTGATTATTATTAATTTTTATTATGGCCTATATTACTATTTAGATACTTGTTACAATCTGTCAGTAAATATGTTGGATTTCTTACCGTTGTCCTTTTTTTAATGTGAAATTTTATTTAAAAAAAATTTATATTGTTTAATGTTATGAGAATTATTCGTTCAAAAATTTTCAGGCTCTTTTTAATATTAAAATTGTTACAGATTAAAAAACAGTCAAGGATTCTTATTTAGTTATTTCAATAATTCCTATAATTCTACACTAAAAAGGTAAATGTCTAAATACATAGCGTAGAAGAGTTTTAATTAGTAAATGTTATGTTCGTCTAATAATTCTTCAAGTTATAATTAACGACCAAAACCAACTAATTAATCAAAAGTCGAGATCAGCAAAAGTAATTTACTAATTAATAATTGCTCTTCAATTGTTTTGTTTTACTGATGGGTTCCCATTTATAAAATACCTGTACAAATATTATTGTCATTGCAGTGCAGGGATGGGTCGTTGAAGGTTTTAACGTCATGGAAACCAAATGTTAATTTTTTTTTCTATTCATCTAACTAGTTATTTGGACAGTCTATAAAAAAGACCTAAGACTAGTGAGTGATTGAAAAAATTCAACCTTGTAAACACACGTTGATTTCAACTAGTTGATTAAAAAACAGGTTACAACTTTGAAAGGCGAGCAAGGGTTAATTCTACTAGAGCAGGAGAATCTTCCTTGTCATTTATGTTAAATAAACGACAATATGTTATTTTACATGGACAATGGAAACCTACTGTAAGATTTTTCTACTTGAACATACAAAACTTTGTATGATGTCATCAGTTATATGTTTCTGAATGTCTAGAAAATGTGTTAAATAGTGTAAGAAAGCATATTTTTGTATCCTAAGATGTCGACCAATGTAAATGGTTCTAATGTAAAGTAAGCACATGGCTTAAGAAGATAATTTTATATACTTGCGACATTGTAGTGCCATAGTATATAGGTATATAGAAAATGGTGCACCTTGTTTCCTTATGTAAATGCTAGTCATAATTATGTACTACTAAAAAGTTATGAATATTATTATGTAAGTTATTAATTTATTTCCAATAATTTTTACTGTTTCCTAACTTGATGTTAAAATATTATTTTTTAATATATCATACTTTATTTAACTAAAATGTTTTCTTTTATTTGAACGAATGTAATTATAGTTTTGATAAATAATAAATAAGACTGCTCCTAAATTATGTACGTAATGTTATACGAAAGTTTTCAATGAATATAGTGCGACAAACTCTAGTGGCCCAGTGACAGACGCTGATGAGAAAATTTGTTAAATCTAATGAAGACATTTATGATGTAACTTTTTTCGTTTCCAAGCCATTATGACGTCATCGAACTAGTCTCATGTTACTAACCACGAGTAGTATTCGAATTTCCACTGATTTAATTATATTTGCTTTTTCTTTGTAAATAATAGGGCGACTTATTTCAGATAGTTTTTTGGTAAAATTGTTCAAAATTTAGAAATGTTTCAAGACAATAATTAGATTCGTAAAGTGATTTTAGGTTAATTCTAAAAATTATGTTCTTTTGATTACAATGCGGTGACAATAACATGAGAATTGGTATGTTCCTGAATTGACCACTCCAAGTTTAGTACAGTGCGCGACAAAGATAGTTATATGTTATAGTTACTATGTTCTATACAGCCTATACATTATTTGTGATGTAACCTTTTTGCACACTGTACACTGTTTTTTCAATGGTGAAGTCTCATGTTATACTGGCCGAAATTATATAAATTTAAAAAGTGTATTATAATTATTTGTAGATTTATGACAGTGTGTGTATGACCTATCAGGTGACTTGTTAATGTTGAATCGGAGTTTTATGTGAAATAGGATAATGTATATTTGTCTATTTTGCAACATGACGTTAAATAAAGAAGCTTTATAAATATATTGTTTTATTTACGACCTCTTACAAGTATCGTGCAGAACAAAAATGTTCTCACGTCTTAATTTAAATTATTAAATTAGAGTAACTACAAGGCATATATTACAGAATTTTTTCTAGCAGAATGAGTCGATCTTCAGTTTTTTTTCTGTTTGGTTTAATAAATTAATTCAAGAATATAGTTCAAGAAACATTGTGAAATCTAATGAAGCAGTTTTTAACAAAGCACTAACAAGTATTGAATGTCAGGAACATTGACAATAGTCTTAAAATGTTTATTATTATTACTTTTCCCCTTTCAGAATTTGCAAGCATCAGACCTGACTGTTGACAGTGTGACCTAATAAAGGGTGACAATAATAGGGTCGTCCCACGTCACGTAGCTTTAATAGAATCTTTTGACCGAATGAATTTAGTGCACGACTGTACGTGACTTATCAAACCTTTAACCGTGCATCTAAACGCATTGATTTTCCTCGCGTAACTGTACTAATACACTCCCTAATGACCACTGTGGGAGTCCTTAGTGTTTTTTATACTAAAACTAAACTAAGGGAGACCTTTTAGAAGCGTTAGAGTGTCTGTTAGTATACTGCGCGTGTATTGTAATTAATCATACCAATATTATAAATACCAAACTTTAGATGGATGGATATTTGTTAGAGTTTGTATGCTAAACGGCTGGATGGATTTCGATGACATTTGGTATAGGTGTAGAGGATAGTCTGGAAGAACACATAGGCTACTCGCTATTGTTTTTATTGAATTCTACGCGAAGTCGCGGGCGAAATATTTATAATAAGAATTATAATGATTCGCGGGAATTAAACAATTACACTGATTTTAAACTACAGTCTGTATACAATTTAAACAAATGTAAAATTACTAAAGCAATTTAAGTTTTTAGTCAAGCTTATTTGTTTACTAGATATAATAGTAAGGTAAATGAAGCTCTTTTCCTTGTCCTTGACTAGACAAGGATGAAATTGAAAGTTATAAAATATATGCGAAGTAAAACGGTTTTCCTTGTATCTGTTGTACAGCGACATTTGAATGACGAGGGTTGTCATAAGTCTACCTCTGTGCACCCTTTTTATCTATACGGCTGTGTAGAAACTCTTTATAGCACTTTCATATTATTTAAAACATTAAATTGTTAGTATATATTTTAGGACAGACATTGGATATCATCTTAAGTTGTCTTTGCTCGTTTTCAATTTTTTTTTTGTTACTTTTTTATATCTGTACTGTACTGTAATATTATAAAGAGGAAAGATTTGTATTTTTGATTGTATTGGAATAGCTTAAAAACTACTGGACCGATTTCAAAAATTGTTACACTATTAGAAAGCTACGTTATCTCTGAGTAACATAGGCTTTATTTTTAAATTTCACGTGGACGAAGTCGCGAGCAACAGCTAGTAAATAAATACGATAATTGCTGAATCATATTGAACACTACTCATTGTACAAAGGTTGTATAGCTTTGGTATTTAAAAAAAAACTTAATTTCTTGACAAGCCATAACTCTGTAGATGACGGAGCATAAATCCCTATTAGATCTGCTTCATTAGCTGCACTTAGCAACAACACGGTTGTTCTCGGATTACGTTAATTAGGCGGCAATTGTTTATGCAAATAACTTTATTACCAACACGGAAACGAACTTAGTCGATGTTAAACTCACGACCAAAATTCATGTAAATTAAATGACGTCATGGTATTACGCACAACGTTTACGACATAAATGATAAAAAGATTGCAGGTATTGCTTTACACAGTACTAGCTGTTGCTCGCGACTTCGCCCGCGTTAACCAAAAATTTATAGCCTATGTTACTCACAGATAAATCACCTTTCTAACGGTGAAAGAATTTTTAAAATCGGCCCAGTAGTTTTTGATTTCTTTCAATACATGCAAGATAATAAAAAAACCAAATATTTCCTCTTTATAATATTAGTATAGATTTCTCAGAGCTTTTAAAATCGAATTAAAAACCACTTTTAGTAACACTTGGTTCAGTACTTAGGTAAAATATGAAACAAAATAAACTACTATACCATTTTTAACGCGCGGTCAACATGCATCACTTCAACGTAACTTTTAATTACAGAATTTGAAGCTTTCACAAAAAGCGCTGGTGGTTTTGTTACGTAGTTAAAAATTCTTTTACGACAATTTTTATTATATCTGCCTAGTGGTTTTGTTATACTTGAAGTATAGTTTGAATTTTGATCTCTTAATTCTTAGTACAGGATATTAAAAACTAAAAGCTAGACACGTAGTGCATATGTATTACCATAAGTACTACGAATATTTATGTATTTTAAGTTGGAAGATATTTAATTTAATGCGGATTTTTTAGAGTTATAAATGCATTCTTTATTTAACAGTGGTAGTGCCCGCTTTAACATCTTAGCACGAATGGGCCGGTACGCCCGGTGTAATACCACGACCACACAGAAGACAGGCGTGAAATGGAACCAATGCCGTG